AAGTGCCACAAGTTGTGGCATATAAGTCGAACTTATGACGGCTCCAGAATGTGTACTAGGAAATATTCTGTAAATGGGCATAAATAATCTTGAGACCCCTGATTATCAAACACTTGTGATCAGAACACATTATGAACAAAGTTTCAAGTAATCACAGCTTCAACTTCACTATAAACCCATAGCTGCATCAATTATGTGCCAAAGGAAACTACATAGAATGCCCATCACACAAGAAGATAACATAGTTTGCAAAGCCCTTATACAATTACACTGAAGAAAAATAGTTTAACAACAAATAGGACTTACCAACTGCACAACATTTTCCACCGCTCTCCTACGCTTTGAAGAAGGAGCTACTAACGATGTAGATTCATTTTCACTTGCTCTGGTTCGATGGGCTTGCCGTAGTCTGAATGAAGAAATATATAAACCAAACTTTTGTCATGCCGTCCAAACTTTCTAAATCACTAAAAAAAAAAAAATTTTAAACAGGACGATGAACTAATATGATGTTCAGACCTTTTAGAATGTCAATATTTCTCATATTCTTGTGTCCATGGTATTCTATGATGTTCAGACCTTTTAGAATGTCAATATTTCTCATATTCTTGTGTCCATGGTATTCTATGATGTTCAGACCTTTTAGAATGTCCATATTTCTCATATTCTTGTGTCCATGGTATTCTATGATGTTCAGATCTTTTAGAATGTCAATATTTCTCATATTCTTGTGTCCATGGTATTCTATGATGTTCAGACCTTTTAGAATGTCAATATTTCTCATATTCTTGTGTCCATGGTATTCTATGATGTTCAGACCTTTTAGAAGATAGTCCACGACTCAAATCTGTATGCTGCTACAGGGAAGGTGCATTCTCTCATAATTTTAACTGATTTCCTTTGCTTCTGCGCAACCATAGACTTTTTAATGCTGTTTAATCTTATACACTGGAAAAACACAGTAAACAATATGAAGCACACTGATTAGTGATTAGAAAGGATTATCATCACAGCACTCTGGACAGATCCATAGGTGCTCTGATCTCCTCAAATGAAGAAATGAAATCAACACAGCAAAGGGCAGACCATGCAAAACATGGAAGCAAAGGGTTCGGCACATGTTTTAGGAGACATGCTCTATCAGAGGATAAGAGATGTGTTTCAAGTCGAAAATGTAATACAAACCTGGCCAACTTTACGTTACCAGTGTGAAACAAAGACCTGTACTACAACTAATATTTAACAGCACAAAATAACAGATGAGCAGCTTAGAACTAGAAGAGCCGCTACAACAATGCACACAGGTGTCTTATCTCACTACCTAGAGACCAGGGGGAATTACTAGAAGCCCAAGTCCCAGCCCTTACTGAGGGTATTAAACCAGGAACCTCTAGCACTCTAAGCGGACATCATGCATTGAGACCATGCAGCCCCCACTAGCCACGACTAAGTAAAACCTGTCATACAGTTCATTAAACAGCAACATATTAAATGGTTTGGCCATCTGAAGAGATGACCTGGTACCAGCACCCAGAATGAAGAAATATGAAATCACCACAGCAAAGGGGCAGACCATGCAAAACATGGAATGACAGTATCAAAAACAGTATCGTAAAGTGCAAAGACATTCTACTTAAATGTTCTCATTTCTATTTCTGACGGCCAAGCGTGTTCTAAAGTCATGCAACAATGCAAACTGGTGTCTTATCTCACTACCTAGAACCAGAGATGACTAGATCCTTACAAGTCCCAGCCCTTACAGAGATGAAACCCGATCTTTACGACTCTAAGCGGACATCATGCATTAGACCATGCAACAAAGATAGAAGATCCTGACATCTAAGTAATAACAATCTGGTGAGGTAACTCGAGAAAGTGAAGAACACATTCTGTTTATAGCGTATGGCCATCTGAAGAGATGACCTGGTACCAGCACCCAGAATGAAGAAATGAATTCAGAAAAACAGCAAACATTTCTTGATGCAAAACATGGAATAGACAGTATCACGCCTTTCGGCGCATCGGGCACAAAGTGCAGAGACGTCTACTTAAATTTTCTCAGATTTCTGCACTCTGTGGGTAATGTGGTCATGTTAGCTGCAAACTGCAGTAGTAATAACTGGCTAACAGAGATGAAGATCCTTACATCTCCCGTCTATAACAATCTGGTGATGTAACTCAAGAAAGTGAAGAACACAATCTGTTTATGGCGTATGACCACTTACTTACAGCTGACCTGACTTGTGAGAAAAACCAGCAAACATTTCTTGAAACTAGAATGTCAATTAACTGGAAGCCACAGGGCATATGGCAGGCCAAAAATTAAAAAACATACAGGGGCAGCTGCACTCTGACTGTGGAGGAAAAACCCCAATAAGCCACCTTGTTTGTTGGGGGCAGTGGGTCTACTCCCTGCCCCAATGGGGTCCCAGAACCCAGATAAAACTCTGGGGTTGAAGAACTGACAAATATCCTCAGGGCCAGCACAGAGTTCTGTTTTAACTACTAGTGGATTATATATTATATAAGTCTTGATACTTTTCTGAGTGTCTACATAGACAGAAAGGAGCTAGAAGGTGAAGTTAACAAAAATAGAAATAAAGGATATGGAATGAGCTGCATGCAATGCAATGGATAAACAGGATGGTGTGGTTGGCATTGGACGAAGGACTAAGCTGCACTGTGGAATAAATAAAGGTCAGAAGAAAGACACCAACACTATGTGCACTGCACTTCACTACAGATGAATGAAGTGTGTGTACAAGTGCAGCACCATAGCAAGGGTGCTTGCCCGATAGCCATGTATTTGTATCCCATTGAGGTAAGAGACTACTCTTCAACTGGCATGAGATGCTCTCCTAGCTCGGCTGCGTGAGAAATGATTGTTAGGAAACAATATGTTTTTTTTTTTTTTAGAAAGTGAAAAAGGCGATAGTTAAGTAAGTTACTAAACTTCATCACTGACTCACCGATTACCACACAGTCTAATTATTCTAGCAGTATTTAGTATTACAACTGGCACAATATTTGTATTTCCAAGCTGTTAATACATCTTATCTTTATTTTTTTAGTGAGAAATTAGCAGTTATATGTGCTCATCTGACTGTGTAGTGTAGTTTATTATGCACTACATTCATTACTATTTAAAATAGTAATATAACGTGAATATTGATATGTGCAGTTGACTTACAATGCATATGTAGTTGTCTACATCCCTGAAACTCACTGTCTGCTAAATAAAATTCCATAGTAACTATGTTCCTAAAAGTGACAGTACAATTAGTAAATTACATGTTCTTTTCAAGTAACACAAGCTGTGTTAGAATCAAGTAGTTATGGTTATGAAATAAATGTAAGGAAAACTTTAAGTAAATTAAAAGATGATGGATTTTTCATTATTTCTTTCTTTCTAAGACGACTAGTACTAGAAGTTGGAAGAAGAAAACCTGAATATTACCTTTAACTTCATAATTATGAAACCATAAGCTGTACATACTACTACAATGAAACAATGTTAATAATTTTTTTAAAAGGTTAAGCAAAATTATTTAATTCATACGTATATAATATATTTTATATATAATTTAAAACAATATAAAATGATAATTAATCCCATGTAAACTCGTATTCTGTCACATCAAGAGGCCACTTTCTGCAAGGCTGATGATGACTTAACGTCATTTGATAATGAACACATAATTATTATTTTTAGAATGTAGATAACTCACCCCCTTCGTGACATGGTCCTGCGAGGAAAGCAACTAGTGTGTCTGCCTCCACCACTGAAACAATATGGATGTTGAGAAACCAGCTCGTTAATTAATATTCTGAAATTTGTCCAGCTGTCTTCTTTGTCTACAACCACGTATCTATCGACTTTATCAAAGCTTTTATCCACAGACACTTAGTATAACTTAACAACTGTCTATTGCACGTGGTGCTGTGAAGTATAACGGCTACTTTGATGAAATTATAATGTCGAAGCCAGGCGCCTGAGGCTGCAAGGGGATCAGGTTTGTCAGGCCGGACTGCTCACGAGGTCCTCTCAATGTCTAGCCTTGCTGATGTGTCCACCTCATGCCACTCCAACAACCGGCTTTCCTCCGCTCTCCAGGTGCTAAACGGCTGCACGAAACACCGATCGCGACCTACAGCGAGTTTATTTAATGTTAACAGTTAATGAAAACCGTCAGGAAATGAGACAAAATCGTGGATGAAGCCGGTGAAAAGCTAAACAATGTCGTTGTGCCAACCGAGCACCCGACCGCCTTCCCCGCCGAATCTCCACTTCACAAAGCTTTCATCCCGCCAATTTGAGGTCACAACGTAACGCACTTACCGCATATTTTTATCGGCCATATTCGATTTTATTGCGAAATCCCTTCAAAAATTCACCCTAGGGACGTGATATGAGCAATAATGAGAGATTTATTCAAATATACTGTGATAATTTCTGTCCCAAGCCATTTCGCATTGCTCAGCAGAAATCATTGATCGCGGAAAGAACAGCTGGAAGAAAAACAGATTTCCGACTTCTGCCGATGTACGAGGCGCGAATACATAAAAAGTACGAAAGTTAAATAGCTGGAAATCTTATTTCATAAGAAAGCGGCGTGATTTTATTAGTAGAATATCTTAAAATTGGGGATATTATGTTGGTTTCCTACTTGAGATGGTCTCTGCCATGGCACGTGGAAAGCCGACAAAATGTAAACATGAAAAAATACACTTTCTGTTCGACTCCAGAATGTAAGCAACATGTAAAACATTATGTACAAGTTATATACCGTTGGAAAGGGCTTTGAATGAAGATTCATGATACCGCTTCAATTTCTTTAAGCGGTATGTAAGGAAGCGAATATTATTGGAAAAACTAGCTGTGTTATCTTGGTTTTAACAAAGGGCGGCCTGCCATTTTTTAGGCCGACTGCGCATGCGTTGAGGAAATCATCGATCTGATTGGTCGGCGGAGACACACCTCCCAGAGACTGTAAACAACAATGGCGGCCACGGCGCTAGAACGCTTCTGGGGCTTGTTCAAACATAAAACTGGCAATGTTATTGGGATGATTCATCTCAGAGCCACTCCAGGTGATTGTTTTAACTAATTATCTTCTGTAGTCCCTAATTGCTATCCAGACTCTGTGCTGTGGTTGAAATGGCTAGTCCTCAGAAAAAACATGCACAACAGTGCAGTGACTGTCATTCATTGCATTGTCGTCTGCAATTCTGTTTCTAAACGTTAATTGTCCAGGTTTCTCCATCAGTAGTGTTGGTTAAAAAACGTGGAGTCGTACACCTGTTTGTGCAAAAATGTAGACAAAGATGGGGCAACTGGGATAGAGATATTAGGGCTATCCTCCGAACTTCGGGCACTGAAGATGGCGGCCTCAAAATATCCTGTCGAGCCTCAGTCACGTGACCTAATTTGCGGTTTTCCGGCGACTACCGCCACGAGGTTCCTACTTCGCTCACGCGGCGTGGATTGAGGCTAAAATAGATGGCTAGGACTCACGAGCAAAGCTGCAGGAGATGCGGAAGCTGCTGCTCGTGGGTCCTAGCCATCTAGTTTAGCCCCAATCCACACCACGTGAGTGGCATGGAAACCTCGTTGCATTGGCAGTAGTCACGGAAAAACCGAAAATTAAGTCCCCGGAAAACCAAAAATTAAGTCACGTGACTGAGGTTCGAAAGGATATTTTGCGGTCGCCATCTTTAGTGCCCGAAGTTCGGAGTATAGCCGATATTAAAATAGGACACACAAAAAGGAGAGGAAGTTACACAGCACTAGGGAATTTGTGGAGGTCAAAAGAAATTTAAACTTATACTAAACTTTAAATGTTTAATTTTGATGTCAAAAGAGTACTTTTATGGTGTTGAATTAGTAATCGATAATATAGCACTCAGGACATTCCCAAAAGCACTCCGTCGCTATCTTCAGCAACACGCACAGAGTTCCAGTTCCCATGGCACCAGTCAATGTCTAAAATTACATCCATCTTGCCTTTCCGTCGAGCATCAGCCAGATTCCCTGGTAACTCCTTGCAGCACCATTCTCCGCAGACCATAATGATCTATTTGTGCCTCCGCACTGTTTACTCACTCGCAGAGGGCACCGGCAAAATCTAGCTTGTCATTCATAATTTCACCACTAAGTGGTGTAAAACCGGCCCGTCTATCTCCCTGCTGATTTCCTAACATACTGGCATTACCTGAAAAAAATATCCAAAGGATGCTAACTAACCCAGGACGACGGAAGTGATGCTTGCCACTCTGCACGGAGCATGCCTGTCTCCACCTTTCTCATGTTCTGTGAGTCAATTACAATTTACGGAATGTGTGTACAACTGATTCTCAAGCCAACGGAAGGCAGAAGGGACTGCCTCCACATCCATTTTCAAACTAGACATTGTGATATCATGTGCAAGGCTTTGCTGCACTTAGCGATGTCCATTCGCTTTTTCTACAACCCCTTCCCCTGTGAACTTTATCTGCCCCTCAACACAAAGCCATCTGTATAGATAATCACATCACCTGGGCAGGAATTATCATGAATCATTTGTTGAACTTCTGATCCTGCAGCACCAGCTGGCCAGTCCCTGCACTCACGACCCAAAGTGATAAGAACCATGCACAAGTCTGATTCTTGCTCTGACACCTTGACCCACTCCACTCCTTGCCCAGCTGTATCAAGCCTGCACGCATGTCTGATTGTGTCTTCAACTTGCACCATCCAAAACCTTCCTCTTTTCAGTCTGTGACCCTTAGCTCTACCCAGGGCTTCATGCAGGAGGTTCTTCTTGTCTGCAGCTACTTTGAGATCTAACTTTCCCTGCAGAACTTGGATCCCTGCAGAACTTGGAGCCTATCTACAACAGTAGATGGTGCAAGTATATTTTGACATGGGAATGTCCAGTGTGCAGCATCATTGATTGTGGTAACATAATATATAACATCTCTCAGGGTATTGTTTTTCTCACATTGCTGAAAACACATTTAGCCATTCCTATTGTCCCTTTGATTTCTATTTAATCTCTGCCATTATCTGTGACTACTTGTCCAAAATAGAATAAGCTTTTTGCTTGTTCTAGTATCTGTTTACATGATACATCATTATATTTAGAGCTAGAAATCTGAATGCGAGAGTTGGAAAGTAAAAATAGCTCTAGGTTTTAAAACAACAACAAAATAGGTCCACTGGAACTACATCAGCCATGCACTCAGAATTGATCAGACCAGACTCTCCCATCAAACAAACCATCATATGGACACCAGAAGGGAAAACAGGAAAGACCAAGAGAGACCCTGTATAGAACCATCATCAGGAAAGGCTTAACGATGGACCCAGTAAGCATCCAAGACCTAAAACGGGTGGCAAGGAACCGCTGTACATGGAAAGCTATGATCTTTGCCCCATGCCCCGCCCTAGGCTCAAGAGGAAAGATTACATATCTGTTTACTGTGTACATTGTTTACCTCTCCTTTCTTTTGCTAATGATCATAGTTTTTGTATGTGTGGGTTTTTTGTTGTTTTTTTATAATAATAATATCTATTTGCTTGTCTGCACCTGCACCGTTAGGTCTTGTAATTCCTACTCACATTCTATCGTAACTCATCAACATATCTCAGATTGCTTATTCTTCTTCTGTTGTAATGTACGTAATAATCTATATTTCTTGTTGACAAGGCACTCCACGAAGCAGCCACAAGGTACAAGAAATTATTGATATTGCTTGCAGGGAAGCCTTGCTCTACAAGGAGGCTGGCCTGGTAAGAACCTATTTTCTTCTTCTTTTTTTCTACTGCTTATGCCATAAAGCACAGAAAAGAGAAGATATATGTAATTTCCTGTCTTTTGCTGGTGGCATAGCTTGTGTTAATGTCATATTGCATTTCTGTAGTGTCTCTTTTACTCCCTTCACTCATCTCTTTTGAGGGAAAGGGGGAGGGGAGTCAGTCTCTTGATTTGTAGCTTGGTGTTCTCATGTCATGCACTGCAGCTTCTTCCTCTTCTTCTTCTCTTCCACCTTGTACCTCAGTGAAGTGTCGGGGGGAGATGTAATGTTCGTTGATGTGCTCTGTCAAGAGGACTGTTAAGACTGTAAGGCTGTTCTTAATGCCATCACTCCATATTTTCCTAGGTCTTCCACTCACTCTATACCCGTTGTAACGTTTTAGTGTGGCTCGCTGTGGCAGATAGTACCAGGGCATTCTTGTTAGGTGTACTGATCAGATGATCAAACCATTTGGTTCTTCGATGATAAGAACTTATCATTTAAGGTAAAAGTAGTCACATGCTGGTATTTACCACTAGTGTCTCTTCACACATTCTAGGCCATGATATATGAGGTGAGGGGGGTGGTTCATTTTCTTATTGCTTTTTCTTTCATTCTGAAAATTAACTAGGAAAGTAAAAGGCCTTTTCCTCATTGTAGTATGCAACATGCAAGGCATTGTATACCTGGCAAAGTATATAGGGCAGGGCTGTTCAACTAAGTTTACTTAGGGGCCAACATTTTCCAAATGGGGATCATCACCGGCCAGAAACCCAAGCCATAGAAAGATCATTAAAACAATACAATCGCCAGTGACCAGCGGACCACTTGCCAGGTCTTCGCCAGTTGAATAGATTATTCTTCAGTCACATGCACAAGAGTTCTCTGTGATGAAAACGACTGCTGGTTTCACAGACTTTAAGAGGCCTGGGTTTTTTGTACTAGCCTCTATCAGTATACTCTTCCCTACTTCTTCTTTGGGTTCAGTTTCGTATGCTCAGATCAGACCATTAGGTAGGTTGCCTCAATGAACTCGCATGTCAGCTGCAGGTCCTTAGTGTGCTCTGATGAGGGGGGGGGGGGGGGGGGGGGGGGGGGGGGGGGGGGGGGTGGGGGAAAAATAAAAATCCTAACCTGTACAGTTTGTGGTGACTGCATTAGCCGCAATTCTGAGGCAAGATGGAGATATAATCAAATGGCTGCTGGCACCATCAACATTTGATCTTTTGGCTGACTTCTGAAGATGAGGCTGGAACGCTTGAGAGAGTGTCCTGAGTGCTATGATGTCAGTTCTTAGCTCCACACTGATGATGCATTTGTTCTGATTTTTCAACATCCGCCCTCATGTAATGGCTTCCTGTGGCTCACAGTCCCTCAACTTATCACTCTAGTACAGCGGTTCTCAGCCTGTTTGTCACGATCCCCTTTGGGGGTCATGTGACCCTTTCACAGGGTTCGCCTAAGACCATCGTAAAACATGTATTCACTGAAGGTATGAAGTGGCAACGAAAGTAATTTTGGGGAGGGGAGGGGGGAGTCCCCACAACATGAGGAACTGTATTAAAGTAGTTCATAGTTTAACATGAATGAAAACATAAAATTTAGTACTGAACTTTATCAGGTAGACAACAGATCACATGCTTTAGCCTTGTAACAAGACTGACAACAGACAGGGCACCACAGAGGGTGATGTTATTTACATATAGTGGTAATAGAAACAGGTCGACCATGCAGAATATGAACTGCAGAACTAGCAGACACACTGAAAAAGTACTATATACGCAGTGAACAGAAGGGCCTTTACCAGAGATCTCTTCCTGCCCTGACGCTGCGAGGCATTCTAGGACTAGAGCAAAGAAGAAGAAGAAGACTACACCGTTCGAAAAGGTATATAATGGTGTTAAGTCTCAGTAACTTTTTCACATAATATCCTTTCTGTTTGGCTTATGATTTGTTTCCCATTTCAGGATGCAGTAATGCTAGAGAACATGCACGATGTCCCATATCTTCATACGTCACAAGTAGGTCCTGAGGTTACATCTGTGATGTCAGTTGTTGGCTATGAGGTCAAGCGTATCTTCTCGCCGGGTCCTGTAGGAGTACAGATCTTGGCCGGGGCTAACAAAGAGGCTCTTGCAGTAGCCAAAGCTTCCGGTGAGTGAGTGTGAAAGCATGTACTTGTATTTATTCCTTCTTGTCCCTGTTTGAGAAGAATCATTATGTTGGCAGCATTCACCTTCAGCTGTCACATAGCGACAGGGTCACAGATGAGTTGAGTTGATTTGAGAACTGACATAAAGGCACTTGGACCATTCACACAAGTGCCCCATCCCCATCTTTAGCAGCCAGTGCAGAGTTCCAGTACCAATGGTGCCAGTAGCAGTCTCATTATATGCTTATCTTGCCTTTCGGCTGAGCATCACTCTCACCAGACTGTGATGATCAGTTTGCTGTTCCAAATTGTACATGTGCTCCGATAAAGCCTTAACCATGTCTGCCTTATCATGCATCAGTATTCCAATAAATAAACAGAGGGGGAACCTTTGAGGCCGTTAAATATTAAGAATTAATCAATAAGACACCTTTTTTTGGGGGGTGCTTGGTTGACCTTGTTCTTAGTACGCTTGTATCCATGGCGAGGTGCAGACGCCATCTGGAGGTGGCACTGTAACTATAGCTTTCGATTTTTATGTTGTCTAGTGTGTTCTTCTATCTTTCTTCTTCTTTCTATGAGTGCCGATCAGTACACTTTCTGTTACCTGATTAATTCATAATATCAGTATTCCAGCAAGTTGTGCAGAGCCAACCAGACTGTCTGCCTGTTCTTTTCCCAACACACCTGCATGCCCTGGAAATATTATCCAGACAATGCACGTCACCCTTGACCTCAAAAGGAAGCATGTCTGTCCTCACCTTCCTCAGCTTACTTTCTGAGTCAATTATAATCATGATGTGACCACCTCCACCTTTGTATTTTAAGCTGGATTCTGTGCTATCATATGCTAGGCTGTCCTGCATTAAATATTGACCATTAGTTTTTGCTAATACCCCTAGGCACTTCTTTTGTCTCTTGACACTAAACCATGTGTATAAATAATCACATGCGCGAGCATTAACCTAAATTAATTGCAGAATTTCCACCTCCATGGCACCTGCTGGCTACTCCCTGCACTCCTGGTTCACCGTGATTATGACTCTACACAAGTCTGACTGTTCTGCTGGTACTCTGACCCACTCTTTGAGCAAGGTGTGATCTGTGTCTGCGGCTACTCTGAGGTTTGACTTCACCTGCAGAACCTTGAACCTACCTGCAACAGTCAGCAAACCAACATTGTATCGCATACACACTACTGCCATGTCTCTAGTAACCCCCAAAATTACCCGTATAGCTGTATTCTGTATGTTCTCTAGTTTTACCAATTGAGTCTTTGAGACAGTGAGCAGTCCTAGTCCATGATCAGTCACCGAGAGGACCAAATACTGATATAGTGTGAAAATCATTCTCTGCTCTATGTCCATTGCAGCCAAAGTCTTAAGTGCAATTAGTCCATTTTGGCATCTTGTCACCACCAACTCCACGTGGTCCTTGAAGGACAGGCTCCTGTTACATGTGATTCCCAGATACTTCAGGTTGCTCTCTCTGTTGACATTTCTATATCGTGAAACTTAGGGCATCAGCTATTACAAGAAAACCTATGCCTTTTCTGGTGGAGGACAGAACTCATTTCTTAACAGCAGTCAGTCACTTTGTCTACTGTCACCTGTTTGTTTCCTGTCTCTCCCCTGCCTATAAACGAAAATACCATTTGCAAATGTCAGTGTCCGTCGAACCCCTGGGAACTCTAGACTGAGTCACAAATAAGTCACCATATAATTGTTTGAGGGAATGTATTTCTCATACTTTTGTTTTAATGCTTATAAATATATTGTTACAATATTTGTTAGGGACATGTATAAAAAAAATTCCAAGGATTTTTTCTGGAATCCCCGGGTTCATAGATCTTTCTTTAGGGGGTTTAGGAGGCGAGGGGGGATATGCATTACCTTTATCTTTTTTCCTGGAGAATAATTTTATGAAGTATCCTTTACATTTTATTTTCATAATGTTTGTCAGGTCTGCAGTTTATCCGAGCTGAAGGCTTTGTGTTCTCCCATGTGGCAGATGAGGGCATTATGAATGCTTGCGCTGGGGAACTTATGCGATACAGAAAGAATATTGATGCCGACGATGTCATGGTTTTCACTGATATCAAGAAGAAACATAGGTAAAGAGTAGTGTAGAGCAGCGGTTCTCAAACTGGGGGCCGCAGCACCCCTGAGTGTATGTCAGGGGTGCCGCAGCAGTAATAAAGAATTTTTTGTAAATCTGCTTAAGATCAGGGAAGACAGCAGTTTAAAACAGAAATACCGTAGAGGAAGCCAAGGAGAGTTCTCAATGCAGGTGTATTCAGAAGACAGTGCCATTGGCAAGGCTGCAGAGCATTCTCAAACGTACGCTTACAAAAACAACAAAAACAGATACAGGAACAAACTTTCTGGGTCAAGTGATTTGAGGGTAAAATTAACTAAACTTTTCATATTCAGAAAGGAAATAGTGAAAAAATGCATCCAAACAGTTTCATTCTCACATTAAAGACAACTGAACATTAATAAAAAAACAATTTCACTGTTTTTCTTCTTTTTCTAAGTATTCAAACCGCTTTAAGGGTAACTGTACCGCAAAAATAAAACTTTGCCCGACAAGGGTACCGCAGCCAAAAAGTTTGAGGGCTCCTGGTGTTGAGTGTAAGTTTAGCCGGAAAATATGTGCCATGAGATTTTTGGAGAAATATGTGCTGGGAGGTTGGTGGGGAAATATGTGCTGGGAGATCGGTGGGGAAATATGTTCTGGGAGGTTGGTGGAGAAAGATGTTCTGGGAGGTTGGAGAGGAAATATGTTCTTGGAGATTGGTGGGGAAATATGTGCTGGGAGATTGGTGGGGAAACATATGCTGTCACATTGATAGGGAAGGTGCTCTGGAAGATTGAAGTTTCAGTCTAACATACTGGCTGGTATTACTAGGATTGGGTGAGGTATAATGTGACCTAGGGCCGCCATGATGGTCATCCTGGGTCAACCTGAAATGTCCTGACCAATGGGGCTTTGGTGAAATTGCGACAGTCCTAGCAAGCAGGCAGTGGATTTATTGTCGCTACAAAGAATTTAGAGAGATAAATGGACTACAAGCATACACCAAGTGATGGGAAGGACAAGGAGCATATGGTAGACCAAGAACAAGATGGAAAGATAACATCAGAGAAACTCTATACCAGAACAGTGTGTCTATGGTCAAGGCAGCCAGAAGAGCAAGAAGCTGAACCTTATATCTCCCTCGATACCTGAAGTGGTAACAGAGGAAGTTAAGAAGAAGAAGAAGATACTCTCTGGTTAGATTAGAGAAAGGAAAGAGAACCCTCTAGCACAATCCTTGTGGATATAGTACTGGAGAAACATTTACTGAATTAAGAGCACACCGGGCATACCCATAAATGCTCTATCTCCCACCATCATAGCACACCTGGCATACCCATAGATGATCTATCTCCCACCATCATAGCACACCGGGCATACCCATAGATGATCTATCTCCCACCATCATAGCACACCAGGCATACCCATAGCTGTTCTGTCTCCCACCATCATAGCACACCGGGCATACCCATAGGTGTTCTTTCTCTCACCGCAGATGTCTTAAGGTGTGGATGCTAACTGTTCCCATGGCATACTGATTATACACATGTCGTTTTAATGACTCTCTTCTTTATCTTTCTGGCTCTAGTCACTGCAGACTACTATTTCACATCCCGACATCAACACGACAAGTAGAAATGGACGACAGCGAACAACACTTTATTTTTCCACTCGCTGTTTCCTCAGCCAGTACATGAAATAAAACAGGTCTAGGGTTGATGCAAACAATGAAGTAAAAAGTCAACATTACCTGCACTCATCGGAACACAACCACTCATTCCAAAAATCACAATGAATCATGCAAACTTCCTCCGTGTTGGCGACAAACACAAACTCAGCCAGCAGACTAAATTTCCGTCAATCCTTTGCTGTTTGGCCAAGTAGGGCGTTTGAACTGACATTCATACTCAGACTCATTCTGGATCCACAAACACTCCTCCGTTCTTCATGCACTCCGTTTCTTGGCCCAAACGAGACTGCCCGCATGCTCTTTCTAAGGCACTATATAACCTTCTAACGCCCACATTACAATTACAACTTTTTCGTGCTTTCCGATTCACATGGGTTTCGTTTGGCCAACATTTTCTTCATGATTCACACAGGTTTCATTTAGCCAACATTTTATCTGTGACTCATGTCGCTGCCCTTGTTACACTCAAATATCCCATTTATATTTATTAGCTGACGTCATTCCGTCTGGGACATAATTTATCGAAGAGAAAATGGTTCCCACATCATTCTCATCCTCTCCTATGCCCGTCCTTGTAGGATCTACTCCTAATTCTTCGTTCACACATTCTTGCAGATGTTATTTTATCTAATCTCATGTCTTCTATCAATATTTGTTGATATATGGTTTTTACAATGTCTCCCTTGTCAATTATGAGAATTCCCATAGCTATCACTTTTGTACTAAAAAATCCTCTATTTTTTATTCCCTGACACTCCTGCATGTCCTGGACAGTATATCCACGTGATTCCCTGCAATGTTGACGTACTGAGGCTTGGTATCCACTCATCTCACTAGTATCCATGTTTAACCTTCCTACTGACTGAGAATCAAACACAATCATTCCTTTTGTGACTTTGTTTTCTGCTATCCAGCTCAGAGCTGCAATGATTGCCTTGACCTCCCTTCTCATGCTTGGAGTTGTAGATAAGATTTTTAAAAAAAAGCTCTGTTTTGTTCTGCCATGATCTTTCCCTTCATTCTAGCTGAAAATCCGCAGCCAGATCTTACACCCCGACAAACAGAACCATCATTGTACCACATCTAGTTATCTAAAGTCGGGAGATGTGAACCAGCGTCATTACACACGGTTATAAACCATAAGTGCTCTGCCATCAGTACGGACAGCTGATAAGAAACTGTCCGCCTCTGTCACTGTCCGCACGCAACTCTGTAGCTACAGCGATGTTCCTCCATTTACCCCAGAGTGTTAACTCTGGTACCCATTACCTAGAGGCTTGGTGAACCCCACCCACACCCCCAGAACTGTCCGGTTTTGAACACCAGCCCTGGGCTGCAGCAAGTCGCAGCTGGATTTAAAAGCAAGTCTCCTATCGACTGCGCTAATGCAGCCCCTTATGATGTACTTCTAATTCTAATTCATTGTATCTTACTACAGTGCACATGCTATCACTAGTGATGTTGACATTGTGAGCACTGCCCAGGCTGCAGAATTCTTCCTGAGTGATGGAGTTATAGTCACTGGTGGGGCCACAGGTCAGGCAGCAAATGTTGCTGAGGTTAAAGGTAACATTTTAATTCTTTGATTCTTTTAATCTTTTGTGTTAGAAAAAAATCAAACAATATTTGTAACTGGTGTACAGGTATTTGAGAAAAACCTATTTAGTTCTACGTTTGTCTCCCCAAACAAACTAGATCATTTTCCATTGATAACTTTTTTGGACTGGTCTGCAGTCCAGGGGGGGTTACGGGTTTGCCGCTATGTTGTTTGCTTTCTGGCTTGTCTTGCATTTACGTTTTTCTTCAGAGAAAAAGAATGCCTGTGACAAAGGTTGCAGCACTGTCTATGGGGATTAAGTGTTAGACCCAGTTCCTAAATGTTTTTGTAGTGTTAAAAATGCTGGCGTGCTTAAATATACAACGTGCGATATCAGCGGCATTGCTGAACACCCCCGTAGCAGTGTGCGAAGGTTGGGTGACCCAAGTTCGACCAATCAGAAGTGAGCTAATGTGTATATGGGCGGTCCTCTGGTGGGACTTCTGTGGAACTAATATAAAATCTGAGCAGTGATTGCTACATTGTTATCACATTGTTCACTTTGATTTATATCAAGAATAACGAACAGCTGTTAAAGTATCCCGGGGCCGCATTAGCGCAGTCAATAAGAGGCTCGTTTTCAAATCCAGCTGCGACTCGCTGCAGTCCACGATTGGTGTTCGAAATCGGGCGGCTCCCGGGGTTCACTCAGCCTCTAGGAAATGGGTACCAGAGTTGACACTCTTGGGTTAAATGGAGGAACATCGCTGTACCTACAGAGTTACTTGTGAATGGCGACACAGGCGGACAATTCTTATCAGCTGTCCGTACTGGTGGCAGAGCACTTATGGTTTATAACCGTGTGCAATGATGCTAGTTCACATCTCCCGACTTTACCTTTACCATTGTTAGAGTATCTGGCGAACATCAAACTGGTTTTCTCTCCATATTTTTTCAAAATCTATGAAAAAAGTCAAATGAGAAATGTTAAAAACAAGAAGCAAATCAAAAAAGTTTAGACTTGTGACAGTTTTGATAAACTCATACTTGGTGGAAATTCAGTTCCAGTACTCAGATATGCTGACACAATATCTTTTTCTCAAACAGTGGAAAGGAATTTTAACAGGTAGGCCAAAATAAGTTAGGCAGATGTTTTGAATGAGAGTGGGGGTAGTCTCCATGGTGAAGTGGTCAAGCAGTCTCCTTCACGCTCTGAAGGTCGTATCTTTGCACCACAGCTGCATCCTTCAGTTCGTGACTGCAGTTTTTACAGCAGAAGTCCCTGGGGATCGTCGCAGGAGCTACGAAGTTCGTGCTTTGCGGGTTGCTCTCAGCAGGCGGCTAGCCATTCTGCAGAGAGACCAAGCCGTATCGGATAAACCCAGTGCTATGAAGTCGATCCTTTTTGACTTTGGATAAGAGTAAGGCCCGAAGACTTCACAAACTGCAAAAAGAGACAGTCGTAGTCTTTTTGACCAGGATTTGTGAAGATTTGATGATGTTTATTATTCCTATCTGTCAACAGACAAAAATAGATCCAAATCTGTTTAGAAAACAAAAATACTAACCACTGACAAAACTGCCAAAATCAAAAATTACAAGTAATGATGAAGAAACACTGGCTACATATTTTACAACAGTTAGAGGCTGTTCTCATGTAAGTGAGTAAAGTTAAACATTTTGAGATCATGCATCTTTTCTGTGGCAACTTCTGGATGTGAGTCATGGTCTCTAAGTCATTGAGGAAAACAAATCAGAGCTTTTGAACTGAAAGGCTATAGAAAATTGCTTAGAATACCACGGACCAAGAAGAACCAAAAACACCAGCATCCTCCATGATCTGAGCATCGAGGAGCATTGGCTCATAAACAGCATCTTGTCCTGAAAGCTGAGGTATTTTGGCCATGTTAAATGTCTTGGTGGCCTAAAGAGAGCGGTGAGGGGGGTAGTTTCTAGAAGATGAGGCAGCGACAGACCTCCCGGAAGAGAAATACAAGACATTAAAGTATTTGGTTCCATACCAGCAGTTTGAAGTTTTAACAATGGATCAACATCATGGCACACGGGTAGTAACCAATAAGTGCTCCGTTCTTCTTCTATCTCACGTCTAAATCCGAAGAAGCTCAGCACAGGCACTGTAGCACCGGCGAGGATTCTGAAAATACTTTGGGTAGATTTTTAACTCCAAATTTTGCCTAGGCAGCTCAGTTAGGCTACTCTTTTCAATTTCCAACTGCCAAGGGATTCTTTTATGTGACAGCGATGCACATGAGCGTCTAATCTCACTACCTGGAGACCAGGGGGAATTACTAAAGTCCAAGCCCACATGAAAAATTCCAGCCCTTACCTGGAATTAAACCTGGAACACAATGCCACGAAACCATGTAGCCCCCCCAATACCAGCAAATAAATGAAAAATTTAACTTTGAAAGCATATTATCTTCACTATGGGTGGAGTATTATACTATCAGCAAATGGGAGATTTTAGCCTAAAAACACTTGAAGACGTACTCAGGAAGAGATTAGGAGGACTTATGGCCATATCTGATGTAGACTGTCAAATAATTACATAAGGACATTACATTGATTGTCAAAGATTTGATTCAATAACTGATATCACAGCACGCGGGGCATTCCCATAAGCGCTCCATCCCTATCTTCAGCAGCCAGCGAAGAGTTCCGATACTTATGTTGCCAGTAGCATTGTGGTTAAATGTCTCTCTTGCCTTTCCTCTGAGCGTCGAGCGTCTGCCAGAACCTCTCGTCACTTCCCTCTGCATCAATCTCACCAGACTGTGGTGATCCATCTGGTCCTCTGAACTGTACACGCTCTCCCACATGGCACTAACCACATCTGCCTATCATGTATCAGTTTTCCACCAAGTTGTGCAGAGCTAGCCAGTCTGTCAACCTGTTCATTTCCCAACACACCAGTGTACCCCAGTAATTGTCAAAGAATTACATGGAAACATAACACAGACCGTCAAAGAATTACATAGGAACAGAGTACTGACTGTCAGAGAATTACATAGGGGCATAATACAGATTGTCAAAGAATTACATAGAGACAGCATACTGACTGTCAAAGAAATACATAGAGACATTACACATTCTGTCAAAGAATTACATAGAGACAGTAAATTGACTATCAAAGAATTACATAGACACATTACATTGACTGTCAAAGAATTACATAGGGACAGCGTACTGACTGTCAAAGAATTACATAGAGACATTACACATTCTGTCAAAGAATTACATAGAGACATTACATTGACTGTCAGTTACAGTTTATTGACTGTCAAAGACTTATTTAGAGACATTACATTGACTGTCAAAGAATTACATAAAAACATTACATTGACTGTCAAAGAATTATATAGAGGCAGTGTGTTGATGTCAAAGAATTACTTGGGAACATAACATTGACTCAGAGAGATAAGTAGCAACATTATTAAACTCTCAGTGAAATCATAGAGGCAGTGTATTGATGTCAAAGAATTACTTGGGAACATAACATTGACTCAGAGAGATAAGTAGCAACATTACAAAACTCTCAGTGAAATCATAGAGGCAGTGTATTGACTGTCACACAGTCACATATGAAGACAATTTTACAATGAAATGTTACATTTATTTAACAAGGCATTGTCAGCTGAGTTAATTTTTTTTTTTGTGGTTCCTTTCAATGCATCATCATTTCTGTCAATTTAAAAAAAATTCATTTCTACATTATTATTTGTTCCATGCCATTGCCATTTATCAATGCTTGTTTTTATTTCAGCTGTTTTAGGTGGCGTGAGCCTACCGGTGCTGGTGGGATCTGGGGTCACTAGGGATAACTACCACCTCTACCGCCAGGCTCATGGGGTCATTGTCGGCTCCTACTTCAAGCGCAATGGAAACTGGCAGGAGGAGATTGATTCCTCCAGGGTTAAAGATTTCATGGAAAATGTGACTTCAGTTCGACGTATTCCAGTTGAGTCAACTATGATAATGTGACAAAAATGTTAAAGAATAAGAGGGATAAACGAACGAACCAACTTTATTTTTCAAATGGTCACGAATTGGGCACACAGGCTTGTCTTACATTCGGCCCTTTCAAACACTCGTCTGTCACACTGCAGCTGTATTTCATCTATAAGCATGTTGTTATGAAAATCAAGAGAAGAAACAAAAACACAAAAGCATGGGTGGTAAAACGCATATATACACACCCACATACACATGCATACCTTCACACACACATAAACACACCCCCATTCACCCACATACATCTCTACCTATCTACACATGCATGCACATTCCAGACACATACATACATACAGATGAACACACAGACACACCCACAGAAACAAACGCAGACACACACACACAGACATACGCGCACAGACCGAAAACCCAAACACACACACAGATCAACAGACACAGACACACACAATTATGAAAAGGAATAAAATTAAGAAAACAAGACATATCACTCTTATAAAACCACCAACATCATAATTCTCTCTCACTTCACTTCACTTCACTTAGTCGCTCCTCTTCTACCTTGGGATGTAGAGGTTTGCCAGAGACATCGCAAGCAGTTTTCTTTATGGCTTTGTCCATTCCAGTCCTCCGCTGGATGTTGTCTTCCCAACAGACCCTGGGTCACCCTGCAGGTCTGATTTCCTGGTTCTAGGCCTCTTATACCTGCCATGGTGGCAGATTGTCTCCCATTGTGCACACATGCCTAAACCATTGTAGCTGTGACTGATCGACTCGAATGTGTAACTGTAATTCTATTGCGCCTTTATATGGCACATAGGGCTCACAGTCTAGTCTTCCATTCCAGTCTATTCTGTGCAACCCTTCAGACATCATGTATTGAATCCAGTGCATCACATTTAGCCTCTGTGTTACAAAAGCCGACAAGCAAGAGGTAGACTCCCTCCTGGAGGTTTAAGTATTCTTTTTCTTCTTCGCATTCATTAGCTGTAAACTCTGGCAGAAAGTTCTGGTTGTTCCTCCACTTCTGGACTGCAGTCCTATTCCAGAACCTGAATGTTGCGTGTGCATCCGTTTTACAGATTTGACTCATTTGTATGCAGACTGCTAGTTCCTTGTCTCTCAGGCAGATGCACTCTGACTTTGAAGGAAGCTCCCAGTTAGTCAACTCTTACGACATGCTTTTGGGTAGGCGGTGGGTCTGTTCTTGTTTTCCCTATAACAGGGCCCCAGAACCCACACGGGAGTTTTAGTATTCAACACAGCTATATTTAATTTCAATTATTAATTTTTTATTTTTTGTATGTTTTCAAATGCCTTTTTCATTCTTTTGTTTTGTAATACAGCCCTTCATGTCTGTATCTTCTCTTTCCTCCCCCGCCCCCTTTATATATTTCTTGGTTTCATGTTGACCTTGGTTGTTTAGAAGCTCTCTTGTTTTGTCCATGCGGCGTCCGTGGCTTAGGGGTTGCGAGTCCGACTCATAATCCAGCGTACCGCGATCGAAACCCACTGCTGGCTGCGTGGATTTTTATCATGGTCCGGCGCGTCGCAGGTTGACCCACCTAAAATGGGTACCAGGATGGGCTGTCCTGGGAAAGTAAAGACAGCCGGCGTAATGCTGACCACATTACCCACAGAGTGCTGATGGTCTGTAAAAATATGGGGTGCTCTTCCCATATGCCCGATACGCCTAATGGCGTGGAAAGGGATCTTACTTTTTACTTTTGTCTTGTCCATTGAGTTTTCCAGTCACAATTTGTCTTGTTTTTAGTACTCCGTTGATAAAGACTTTGGTCAAAACTTTTGGTTGTATTTTTGTGCATCTTTTCCATTCCCTTTGTTGAGTTTTCTAGTCACATTTTATGTTGTATTTAGCACTTGTCATCAGCTTGACTGCAGTCATTCCATGTTTACATCATCATTTTACATCTGTGGGTATGCCTACTATGCTATAATGTTTATTCTGAGGTCGGTAATTTAATTATAATGTTTCTTTAAAGGTTCTAGACTTCATTTTATTATATTATAAAACTCTGCCTTATAGTGATCAGGAGTCACCGTGGCAAAGCGACTAGACGCTCGCTTGCGGATCGGAATGTCATGGGTTCGCTCCCTGGCAGAGCCAGACTTTTTTCAGAAATGATCTTGACTCCCAGGTTGACCCAGCCTTGAGTGGGTACCGGGTGCAGTCCCAAGAAGGTGTGATGCTGACCACATCACCCATCTTGTGCCGATCGGTCTATAAAAATTTAGGTCTAGCCCTATATGCCCTATACGCCTGAAGGTGTGGAAAAGGGACCTTTACTTTACTTGTTGTGATTGGCTGCATCCATCCGTGTGTTTTTATTTTAATGACCTTGGCTCCCAGGTGGACCCAGCGTTAAATAGGTACCAGGTAAAGTTCTAGAAAGTAAAGATGGCCAGTGGGATGCTGACCACGTCACCCACCAAACACTGATTGGTCTATAAAAAGTCTTTTACTTCCATCCACAGTGAGCTGCAGTTTTGGTGGGAAACTGTTGGTGTTGGTACATCTGGTGGCTGCTTTGTGCATTTACTTTACATGTGCAAGTTTCTAGATGTTGCTGGGACTGGTATATTTATCACCAGTTTTAAAATTAGACAGTGAGAGCGCTTTGTGTGGTAGCATCAGTTACACCACTGCTGGCTTGCTAGGTCGGTCCGTCACGTGGCGAGGCAGGGAAAAACCTGCCCGTCTCCTTCCAGGCGAGCCAGTGCCCAGTTAGCCTAAAACCTCGCTGCTTCAGTTTTCTGGCGTGCACCACGAGGAAATGGGGTTGAACTTGGTGTTCTCCAGGTCGTTGGCGGGCTTCTTAAATTTTACTTTTCTCCTCTCTGAAGAGAATTTAGCTGCAGTGCCAAGCGCCTGTGAACACCCTTGCAAACAAAACCATGAGACTGGAGTACAACCAGGTATCAGTGAGTCAACAAAACCAAAACACTGGGCTACAACCTGGTATCAGTGAGGCGACAAAAGAAGAAGAAGAAGAGAGCACTTTGAGTGATTTTCACTTGCGCAGCAATTGAGTAATTGTGGCATGCCTCCGTAGTCAATTTGAAACCCTGATTAACAACCAACATTATTGTTTTCTTCACGTATACAGTCCAGACTATATATATTCTAATATAATTACACTGTTTATTTTATAATTCAGACTATGTTTATGTATAATTGTTCATGTATACAGTCAATTATTTGTTTCTATATAGCTACATTGTTCATTTATACAATTCAGACTATATATCCAGGCTGTATGTTGATAAATAATTACTTTATTCATTTTTTAGTTCAGACTGCATGTTCCATTTTAACTGCATTGTTCATTCACAGAATCAAGGTTATGTGGTCATATATATTTATGTTATTCGCTAATAATTCAAGAATACATATTTCTACATTATTGTTCATTTATACAATTCAAGCTATATATTCATACTTTATTATTTATTGAATTTATTTAATCCAGGCTATATGTTCCCTTATATTTATGTTGTTCTCTTCTAGCTTTAACTCTTTTGGTACCATGGAATGCATGATGTTAGTTAGTTAGTTCTCTTTCTTCCGCCTTCTGTCCATTAGTTTGCAGAACTTTGAGCTTATCTGTAATAGTCGGCAGTGAAAGTAAATATCGCATACATACTACCGGGGTGTCTCTTGCACATCCCACAATTACCCACATGGCTTCATTCTGTATGTGTTCAAGTTTCATCAGCTGACTCTTTGATATGGTAAGCATTCCAAGTCCATAATCTTTCACTAACAGGATGGAGGCTGGAACATTGTCAACAACATCATTTGTTTCATATCCATTGTTGCCATAAATAATCTTAAGTGCATTGAGATCTTTTTGGCATTTTGCGGCAACTGCCTCCAAATGATTCCTGAAGGACAGGCTTCTATTGAAATTGATACTCAGCTACCTCAGTTTGCTTTCTCTTTGGATGTTTCTTTTCACTTTTAATGTTGCTGTATCATATGCAGGGGCAGGATGTGTTCTTGTATACATATGCCAGGAAATGAAGTGTAAAAGCAAATGAACAAGATGCTAGACTTAAGGTAAAATTAATATGGAGGGCGGGTGAGCATTGGATCAGATTGATGGACATTTCTTTTAACGATATGAAAGATGTTTGCTAGAACTTAGAGAATCTACAACCAGGTTCAGACTGCAAGAACAGCAAGTTAAAAAGGATGAGGCCAGACAAGAGCACTATGCAAGAAGACAAAGATGTTCGTGCCAGGTCATGCCGGGGTCCAAGGAAATAGGCAGGCTGATGGGCACTTGCAGCTAAAACTTTGTATCTTTTCTCCAGGCCATGCTGGCATGGTGGGTAATGAACAGGCAGACAGATTGTCTGGATCTGCACCACTGGGTGGTGAACTGATACATGACAAGGCAGATGTGGTCAAGGCCCTTAGGGAACCAGCAACGGAATTAGTAGAGATAGAATATTATTATGGCCTGGAGAGAATAAGGCAAGATGGACATATAACCAGATTGTGACCAGTACCATCAGTATTGGAACTCTGTGCTAGCTGATGAAGATGAAGATGGAGAATGCATGGGAATGCCAAGTACTGTGATGTCCATTCTTGACTCAACTCAGCTAGAACTACTGGTGAGTATAGACAAGCCAGGCTGGTATACTGAATGTTGTATGAGAAGTAAGATATTTGTGAGAACCAAGTGAGGACTTTGAATATAAAACCATGGTTAGACTGCAAATGAAATGGGGTGTGATCAGACAAGAGAACTATGTAGGAAGCCAAAAAAAAAAAAAGAACATACCAACACAACTGACTTGTGTCTTCAGCCGATACATGCTGCTGGATTTACTGAGGAGGGGAGCTGAGAGTTATGGACTGAATGGCGTGATGTTTAGGGAAGATGATTTGTCAGCTAACATACAGTTGATATATTCTCTCACTGTTGATTTTATCACACAGAGTTGTTCTTATGTTTATACATTGTTGGTGTATCACAGTA